GTGTAATCATATGTAATCATAAGCTTTGAGCTTATTAAGTTTAAACTGTACTCAACTTTTGGGACACCCTGTTTAAAGAAACAAATTAGAAATAATGGACTGTTCCACCCTCGATAAAGTTTAAAACTGTGTTAAGACTAGTGGGATACCCAGCACATGTGTATGCATGTGTAACCATTTGCATAAGAGTTTAAGAGCCAGCATCTCAATTCAGAAATCAGTCATCTTTACTCAGTTTGGAGGGATTGGTGCAAAGAACATGGGATGCTTTTGGAGAAATAGGGTTGGTAGTGAGTGTATTCTACTGATAAGGAAATGGTTGAGTCAAAACAATATGTCATACTTTTTTCAAAAGGCCCTGGTACAGTGAAGAAATCCAAATTAATATCTTATACCTACATGGACTTGTCCTATAAATTCTCTTCCTGTTAAGTAATTTTCCATAATTTCAGAATTAATGAGGTAGGGCACCGGTTCCATCTGAGAAAACTGGAAGCTGCTAAACGAGGGATTTTTGAAGATCCAATACAGAAGGCACTAGATGGCGCCATCTATCGGTGAAATGTGATAGTCTCCTATTAGGCATTTTGAAAGCTCATACACAAAAAGGGAGAAAACTATGGTCCAGAAACCAGGACTGTGAGGACCAAAAATTTTTACAGAGGAGAAATTCTCGTGGTCCGCGGGCTTCTTGTGCCCAATGGTAGAGTGGAAAGCTTAAGTTGGGAAAGGTCTACAGAGCAATCAATATACACCAAGTAAGCCATGTGGGTGGCAACCATCTAAGTCTCTTTCTTGACACTTTTGACTCTTATTTTTAGAAAAAAAATAAGGTTCCCAAAGGAACCTAGCTCTGATATTTTTAAATGGACACCAATAGGAGATAGGCATAGAGCAGATTTTGGATCCTAAATTGGCTGGCATGAAAGAGGTAGCTGGAAAGAACTAGATTCAAAAAAATTATATGTATGTATATATATATATAGATAGATAGATAGATAGATAGATAGATAGATAGATAGATAGATAGACAGACAGAGGGCACAGGGTGAGTTGAAGATTAAGGGCTCATATCTGGAGAATAAAATTAAGGGATGAGAGAGGATGATTCTCGGAGAAGAAGAAAGGGAGAGGTAGAATGGGGTAAATTATCTCACAAAAAAAACAGAAAAGTCTCTTACAGTGGAGGGGAAACAGGGAAGGTGAGAGGGAATGAGTGAATCTTATTCTCATAGGATTTGGCTTAAGGAGGGAATAACATACACATTCAATTGGGTATGGAAATCTGTCTTACCCTACAGGAAAATAGGGGGAGAAGGGGACAAGAGAGCAGAGGGATGATAGAGAGGAGGGCAGATTGGGAAAGGGGGTAATCAGAAGGAAATACTTCTGAAGAGGGACAGGGTCAAAAGAAAGAACAGAATAAATGGGAGGGCAGGATAGGACTAAAGGAAATCGAGTTAGCTTTTCACAACATGTCTACTATGGAAGTGTTTTGCACAACTGCACATATATAACCTATATTGAGTTGTTTGACTTTTCAATGAGGGTGGGTGGGGAGGGAGGAAGAAAGAAAATTTGAAACCTAAAGTTTTAAAAACATGTTTAAAAAAAATGTTTTCACATGCTACTTACTGGGAAATAAGAAATACAGGAGATAGGGTATAGAAGCCTATCCTGCCCTACAGGAAAATAGAAGGGGAAGGGGATAAGAGAAGGGGGGAGAGATAGAAGAGAGGGCAGACTAGGGGAAGGGGTATTCAGAATGCATGCCATCTTGGGGTGGGGGGAGGGGTGAGATGGGGTGAAAATTTGGAACTCAAATTTGTGGAAGTGAATATTGAAAACTAAAAATAAATAAATTTATATTTAAAAAAAAAGGAAGAACTTAGATTCAAATCTCACCTTTGACATTCACTGGCTTCACAAATGAACTAGTCATTTACACAACTTGGCAACTATTTATGCAGGGGTCTATAGCCCCTACCTCCTCAGCATCTAGCTATTAAAGTTCTGAAAAAGAAAGTCCTCACCACCAAAGTCCTTGGCACTGTCAAATGGCTTGACATCAGAAGTAATTTTATCAGTGGAAATGATTTAAAGAGGCATCAAAATCTGCATTGCTGCTGCACGTTAAGGTCCATGGGACCTTTCCATCTGACTTGCAGTTGAAAGCTCCCATGTGTGCTGTCTCCCCCCATTAGAATGTGAATTCCTTGAGAACAGGGATTGTCTTACTATTCTATTTGTAACATCTGTGCTTAGCAGACAGTCAATAAACATTTATTAAATGCCTACTATGCACCAGGCACTACTCTAAGCAAAGGAGATACAAAGAAAAGCAAAAGACAGGCACTGCCTCTGAGGAGCTCACAATCTGATGGGGAGACAATATGCAAACAACTTTGTGGAAACAAGTTATATACAGGATAAATTGGAAATACTCATCAGAGGGGAGGCCTTAGAATTAAGACGGATCAGGAAAGGCTTCCTGTAGAAGGTGGGATTTTAGCTGGGACTTGAAAAAAGCCAGGAGGCAAAGATAAGGAGGGAGAATGTTCCAAACAAGGAGAAGTGCCAATAAGAATGCTTCAGTAGACAAGGAGGCCAGTGTCACTCAATCTTGGAGGAAAGTAAGGTTAAGAAGACTAGGGGAGTAGGTTTGGGGTGGTCGGGTTATAAAGGCCTTTAAAAATCAATTTTATATTTGATCCTGGAATGACAGGAAGTCACTACTGTTTAGTGAATTGTTGTAGGGTGGGAGTAGGAGTTCCACAGGGTCAGACCTTCGCTTTAGGAAGATCGCTTTGACAGTCGGCGGAGGGGGGGGAAATAGGTTGGAGTGGAAAGAGACTTGTGGCAAACAGATTAACCAGGCTATTGCAGTAATATGGGGATGAGGTGAGACCTCCTATACCTGTGGTGTCCCTCATCAGAGGGCAGGAAAAAAGTCTCTTTTTTATTTGTGTTATGGCACTTAGCACCAGCTTTGCCTACGGTCAGCACTTAATAAATGTTTTTACATCTTATTCATCCAATTTCTCTGAGCCTCAGGCAACTCTTTAAGAATGTAAATTATAGACGGGGACATTACAGATCCCTTGATTCTCAGAGTTCACATAAAGGATAACTGGGTCTTGCGTCCCCAAGGGACCTTCTGGCATCAATAGATGAAATAGTATTTTCCTTGAAGTTATCACCAGAACTGCAGACAATTAAATCACACCTTTTTATTAAACTGTATTCCATGCAATAACGCTCATAACTTTTAATAATGACAAAAGGGGAGGGCAAAAGACCAATCGTAGCCAAAAGGTCATAGGTCACAGGTCCTGAGTAGGAAAGGCACATGATTGACCACTTAAATCAACAGAACAAAAGAAACCAGGGCACAAAGGGAAATACACCAGGTCGAGACACTGAAAAAAGAAAATTTCAAGTGAGTTTGACTTGGAAAAAGATTTAGGGGGTAATACTTGTTTCCCCCCCCTATAATTTTCCCCTTTCATCTCATTCTGAGCTGAATCAGTTTTGATCCTTGACATACAAGGGAGTCTGACCTTACCTGACCTTCCACTTAAGACCAATGAAGAATGTTTACAAGTATTTTGGGAGCTCAACTCCAAACCTCTTCCCCCACCCCCCTCACCCCAGGACTCCTTAAGTCTACCAAAGGTTCATGTACAAGACTCCTTAGGGATAAGTCAAGAAGGGTAAATGCTGGGAGTGAAAAAGGCAGAGAATAATTCAGCACCAAAGATTTGCAAGCTTTAGCCAGAGTCCCAAGGGGATGGGGTGGTGAGGATTTTCAGCATTAGTCACTAACTAGGGTTTGTGAGGTGAGGTAGGTTCACCTACATTGGGCTTCCAAGTGGACGAAGGGGAAGGAAGTGTTCTAGGGGCAGCAACCAGAAAGGCCTGAGGAGGTCCAAGTATCCCATTAACCTTGGGAACATGACATTCTTCCATGAAGTCTTTTGTGCGTATTCCTTGCCTAGAAAACATTTCTTTCCCCACTTTCACTTTCTATGTGTTGACCTAAATATAGTGTGGGGTAGGGACTCAGACAGGAAGATTCTCAGGTGTGTGTTTGGGTGCCCTTTTCATAGGAACCACCCTCTCCTTTTGGAAACTTCTGTGCTTAGGGAAGAGTTAGTGCTAGACTCTGGCCCTGAAAGGTGAGAAAGATTTCAGCAAAAAGAAATTCTATGTCAAGAAAGAGATTCGGTGCCCTGGAAGCCGTTCATACCTTTCTAGAGGCCAAGAAGACAAGGGAGCACTGGAGCTTTTGTTTAGATGGAATCATCTTTCTATTCTCACTGGTTTGGGGAGAGTGAAGTGGTCCATGGCTACTCCTAGAAGGTGAGACAAGCTGGGGGCCAGGGAGCCCTTACTAAGATCTTTAGACTATAATATTCCAGCCCTGGGCAGAGAGAGACCACTTCTCCCAGAACCAGGGAAGAGGAGCATTATGTCCTCAGACAATTCTGAGGCCTGCTGGTAACCAGTTGGGGGCGGGCTGGGTAAGTGGTCAGTTAGTGAAATACCCCAGGTCTTCATCTGCCTTCATCTACACCTAGTGCTTAGCAAATAGTTTCTGGACTTCTTCTTATTACCCATTCCAATGGAGGATGGAGAGGAGTGGGGCAGGAAAAGCACCCCTCCCTGTTGCAGACTAAACTGCATTTAGAGTTATCTCTTTAAGTGGTACTTTAAAAAAAAACTGTGCACTTCAAAGTGTATTAAAATCTGCTAGTCGGGGCAGCTAGGTGATGCAGTGGATAGAACACCGGCCCTGGAGTTAGGAGGAACCGAGTTTAAATCCAGCCTCAGACACTAACTAGCTAGCTGTGTGACCCTGGGAAAGTCACTTAACCTCCATTGCCTCCAAAATAATTTTTAAAAATATGAAAAAAAAGAACCCTGTTTGTTGTCAAATGTTAACTCTACTTATTAAAATGCATGGTGGGAAGCTGGAAGGAAGGGAGACAAACCCAGAAGATATTTAAATCATGGAAGTTTTATCACCTCAATTTGGATTTTGCCAGTAGAGTGACTGGAGGTTTGTAGCTACACATTTATTAGACATGAGTTTATTTGAGGAGAAAATAATCCTTGGGAAAATACTCTTAAAAATAAACATGATCTGGTAGCCACAGAGATGAATGTGAGCTGATGTGGGCAGCCATTCCCCTCTCCATCTTTCCACTTCAAGGCAGTCACACCATTTTGAAAGGAAAGCCACACCCCAGAAGGGAGTGAGATACCATGGAAGATCTCTCTACATGAAGAGACAAGAATTCAAACCCTAGGCTCAGGGGTGATTTGACCATTCAGTCTTCTTTGTTCCCCAGCTCTCCCTTTGGTGTTGTAGAAATCTGATCAAATTTGTGAATTCTTCGTACCTGACTGTTAAGGGGAGCTCTGAAGCAGCATAATTAACATGCAGACATTCATAAAATCAGCTGCAACTCTTAAGAGCTAAATTTGGGAAGAACCCACCGCTTGAAAGGTTGCAGCCCTCAGCTTTGGGCACCAGCCCATTTTAGACTCTCTCGGCACCAGAAGCACACCAATGCTGGGTAGCCGCTGCCACTCCAGGAATAGTCCACAGGGGCTTGAAGGTAGGGGGCCCTCCTTGAACTTGAGCAGTAGGAAAGCTGAAGGCTTCATCAGCAGGATTTCAAGGCAAAAGACAAAACCTTGGAAGTGCCTTCCAGCATCCTGCAGGGTGGGAACCAGAGTGACTCAAGAAGATTTAGCCCTTCTGGGTATGAGACAAGATGCTCCCATGTTATTCAAGTACTAAGGGTTTTTTTTTAAAGTTGTGTTTAAATTTTTAAAAAAAGCACAGAGTCACTGTTCACATGCAGGGTTGTCAGGTTAGATTCAAGTTATCAAAGAACAGGGATTAAATGCATGGATTCATGGCCTTCTACCATTTCCTCCATCATGCCATATCAACTAATCTCATCTGTCCTGGGACTCCTGACCAACTTGCAGGGGTAGTGGATGCTCAGGGCAAGGCCCTGCAAGTAGCATATGTCAATATTCTATGCTAGTCCATAGCCTCCTGACTCCCTGAGATGGGTGAATGGTCATTTCTCCCTTTGATTTGTCACAGGGAGAAAAAACGGTTCTCATGACGCTGCCCATCATCACAAGACAAAATTGGAGGGTGATGGGGTGGGGAAGAGGCTCGGGGAGCATGTTCTAGGAAGCTATGGAAGAAAGGGAAGAGAGAAGTAGCATGTATCTGCTGGACCATCCTCTCACTCTAGATCTTGCTGCCAGGGAGATTCCCAGAGCAGCTGCTTCCTACTTAACCTGGCTTAACATCTCTGAGGTGCCTGCTTGAGTGGAGGAAATGAAGAGTCCTGACCTTGCCACTCCCTCCCACCCTGAGCCTGGAAAGCACCGTTTCTTTAAACTGTACGAAGGTAATCTGTGTGTGTATGTGTGTGTTTGCATAGTGGGGGAAAAGGAAGGTATCCCAGCATACAGCTCCACTTTCAATTGGTCAGTCCTTATCCACACCACTCTTTCCTCCCTAATTAACTCAAAGCTTTTAAACCCAACTTAAAATTCCAGGGGCTTTCCTGTTTTCCCTGACTGGCTCTACCGTGTGCAGGCCTTACTTTCTGACTGGAAGGACACCCCGCTGGTGGTACCCAGTCTGTCCCACGAAAGGCAGTGCCATGTCATGACCTGCAGAGGTATGTGGAGGGCAGAACCAGGTAAGAGAGGGGTAGGGTGTCACTGTGGCCTCATCCTTTGCAACCTCCTAGCAGGCAGGGGACAAGGAGGAGAACGTGTCCTGGAAGGAGCTCTTCCACGGAAGGGCGTAGAACAAGGGGCAGCAGTTAGGAGTATGGCACCTTGCCACAAGGCCTGCAAAGGCAATCTATCACAACCAGCTGCAGCATGATAGATCTACCTTGGGGAAACCTCAATTTACATCACCAGTCCAGCAGCACTGATGAACCTCCCTTCAGGGGCCCTGGAGAATGGGGGCAGGGGCTGGTTTCTGTACGGAAGACTAGCTATGAGTGGCTTGGAGCACAGGGTTGAGAGGGAGGTGGCCCCGCTGTGCCAGGACTAGTGAAAGAAGTGTCTTGGCAAATGGAAAATACGACTCTACAGTCCTGCCTTTTATCTAAACAGAGCCCAAACAAAGGAAGCACTAATGCTGAAACCTGAAGCCCTGTCTGTGCGTTCCCTCCACCCCACCCTGGCACCAACTCTCCTGATCCGTCCTGGAACAGCAAGGGTGAGAGACTTGTTAAAACAAAAATCACCAGGCACCCTCTCCATGTCCCCTTCTTCTCCCCTCCCCCACTTCCTAGCACTCTGGATTAGGGCAACAAAGTTCCCACCAACCCCTAATATATACACACACCGAAGCCAGCCTTGGCCCACTTGGCACCAGGCTGCTTTCCTTGAACACTATCGATGCAACACCCCCGAGGAGTCTCAATTTGATAGCATTTAGTACTGGGGAGCTTCTCATCCAGTCCCACAGAGGAATTCAGGCCCTTCATCCCCGTAATCTTGGGGAGTCAAGAGTCTGATCTCAGTTATCATGAGGAAGAATAAGTCACTTAGCTAGGGCTCTTAGCCTTCAAGAGCCTTCCTCTGGGAGATGCTCACGAATAGGTCCCCAGAGGACACTGCAGGGGGAAAGGATCTCTCATAGGTAAGCACCATCCCCCCCCATTCCATCCTTATCAGTATTTCTTCTAAGGTAGTTGCCTCTTCTGCCAAAGACTAGGAGAAAGGCAAAGATATAATACTGAGCCAGTGAATGAAAGACATGTGAGAGGAGGAAGAAGAGTTTAAAGTGGGAAGATTTGATCTCTGTGAGTGCTACTGGTGACCAGGGATGGGGAACGGAACGAGTTGGCTATTCCTTTCTGATAGGAAATACTGTTAAATGAAGAACCCACCCGGGCTGTGGAGGGACAGACAGAAGCACAGCTCTATCCATTAACAGATTATTGACGTCTCATAACACAGAGGAAATGTCCTTTGGGAATAAGATTCCAGCATGGGGGTTGGGATGCCAAGACTCTGACACTGTTCCCCTCTCCCCTCAACTACTTCCAAGTCATCAGCATGATGTCCTGTCCCAAAACCCATCTTTCAAGCAGGTAAGATGTTTTGTGGAAGGCAGAGGTCACAGAGATGCTAAGCTTGGTCCCTCAGCAAGAAATGGCTGCTTAGTCCCAGGTTGGGTGATACCAACAGTCTGCTGCCAGCTAGCTTGGGTGAGGCTGTAGCAAACAGCTAGATGTCAACTGCTCAACAGCTGCACATTTAATAGGGGAATGGGTGGGGAGCATGGCATATTTTAGGACTGGATGGAAGCAAGGTGTACAAAAAGGAGCTAAAGTCTGGCACCAAGATCAACCACACTGAACAGAAATTGTCTCCATCCAGAGAATCCCACGGGAGCCATAGTAGGACCCTTGCCTATACAAGTGATGCTCCTCTGAAACATTTACCCAATCTGCTTATACAGGGTAGGTGCGTACTTATGTGCATGTGTTTGTTTGACAATTCAGGATAGAGTCTTAAACTTTAGCTGACAAATCTTTTTTTTCTTTTTTCTTTTTTTTTTAAATCAAATAGGCCCCAGGCATCATCCTGAAAAGAGAAATGGCCTCTTGTGCTTCCCCCACCTTTGGTCTCTGAGATGGCTAGAAAAGGGAAGTGCAAAGGGAGTGGTGGGGGGATGAGGGTGGCATCTGGGATTTGGCGCACCAAGGCCAATGGAGAAGAGCCCTCCAATCACCAGTGATGCTTATTGCTCCTAGATTCAAGCCACCATATGCAAAGGGAGAGGGGAAAAAAAAAGATGGGGACTCAAATGTGGAAGAGAGTGGATCAAGAATGGTCCTTCCATCTGAAGACACAGTCAAGTTAACTTCCTGCCCCAAGACTCTCTCTCCCAGGAGGAAGAAAACCCAAAAAACACTGGGAGAAGTGCATTACTCCTAGAGGGCCAGGTTGGCTCTAAAGATGGCCACAGATAAATTCCCTTCCTCTTCTCCTTGTACCCCCTCACCACCCTCCTCAATCTCATCCATGTCGGGCTTGAGCTCATCAAAACACAGCAGTATAAGGTGGAGCCCAGGGTCTTTGCTTATTGCAGGCAGGGAGGCAGGTGTGCACCTAATTCCCATGGCTCATGGTGTAAGCCAGTAAGATAGCCATGTCTCCTCCCACTTGAACAAGATGTGGGCTAGAACCTGCTCTGATGGATCCACTCCTGGTGTACCCCCTTGACAACTGGCGGTCTTTATTCCTGAGGGATGGGAAGGAAGAGCACTGTCTCTCCCCCTCTGACCCTGCCTTTCCCATCTTCTGCCCTGTTTCCCTTAGCAACAACAAAGGGAAGGTAGATCGAGGAAGGCTAAACTGTCCTCCCTTGCTCTGGTAAAAATCCAGTGGTTGACAAACATTTTGCTTGCAGACCTAAAAAGGGAGGGTCCCTTAAGTAAAGCTCAGGAGGCGATGAAGGATGGGAGGGGGAAAAACCCAAACCAAACCAAAGAACTGCCCCAAGTCCTTTCTCCAGGTACCTCCCTGGGTAGCACAAGGAGGCAATAAGATTCAAACAGGAACACTACCTCCTCTCCCTAGTTTCTGCGGCCTCTCTTGAGGACGTGGCAGAGAGACGAGAGGGGTACAAAAGAGGGACATAGGAGAGAGCCCCACGGCGGCCACAGTTGGTCCCCAGAGCACAAGGAGGGGCAGCTTCCCTATGAGGTGTTCAAGCGTCCTTAGAAAAATAATTCTGAGTCTGTTCCCTGGCAGGGAAGATGTTTCCTGAGACCATACGGAAGCAAAGGCCGCATTGAACAGTCAGGAACAGAGTGTGCTGGTGAGGCAAAGAGAGAGAGAGGGAGCTGAAGAAAAGAGCCACCCAGGCTCTGTCGGGGCTGGGATTAAGGCTGCAAACGTTCCAGGTACTGGGGCAATGGGTTTTCCTTGACATACTTCTGAATGTACCAGCAGGTCAGGTGGGCCTTCAGATCCTCCTCCACTACAAAGTCCAGGGCGGCCTTGGAATCCGAGGGGAGAGAAAAACAAAACAAAACGGAAGATACATCATCAGCATCCCAAAATATTAATAATCAAGCATTATTTTATTGAATATATTGAATATGATTAATAACGGGTAAGAATAGCACTTATAACGATTGCTGGCATTTCACATAGCACTTTAAGGACGGCAAAGTACTCTGCAAATATTCACTCCTTTTATCCAATGGTGGAGACAGTTTTGGGCAAGTGGAACTTCTTCCTACACTACCCTGTGAACTACTCAAGGTCAGTAGTTGCCTGTAGTTGTCTGTTTTTTACGCAATTGGGGCTAAGTGACTTGCCCAGAGTCACACAGTTAATTAGTAAGTGTCAAAGTGTTTGGTCAGAGGCCAGATTTGAACTTGGGTCCTCCTGACTGCAGAGCTGGTGCTCTATCCACTGTACCACCTAGCTGCCCCTATAGCTGTCTCAGAGATATTTTGAACCTATCTTTCCCCACACTTAACCCCACTTTCCCACACTGACCCCAGGTCTCCAGGCATCACACAAAGTAGGAAGGACCAAATCATTCAGGGTAGAACTACTGTCATTGAAGTAGTAGGTCAAACACAGGTTTTTAAACTTTGATTCTTATTTGCATTACACCCTGATTTCCCTTCACTGAGACCCTCTTATTCTTTGGCAGGACCCAGACTGTAGGGCAGGATCTGAGATATGCTATCTCCCAACGTCAGTAAATCCACCCCTCCTTCCAAAAGGGCTCCTCCTGTTTGGTCTGGACTCTCTCCAGAATCCTCCTCTTTTTCCTCTCCCACCTCACTGCCACCCTGAGACCCTTCTTTCCTCATTGGTGACTATCTCCTCAGCATCACCATTTTAGGAAGGACATCAGCCACACTCTACCTCACTTGTGTCTGGCTTCTTTGTCCACTGGCCTCAATGCCCCTTCACAAGTACATTCCTCATGCCCATCCTGCTGCTTTTTGTTGTTGTTGTTGTATTTTGTTTTTTACTAGGCAATAAGGTTAAGTGACTTGCCCAGGGTCACACAGCTAGTAAGTGTCAAATGTCTGAGGGCAGATCTGAACTCAGGTCATCCTGACTCCAGGGCCAGTGCTCTATCCACTGCATCACAGCCTCCTGCTTCTTCATGTGTCATCTCCCCACCCTCCCACTCCCCTGCCAATTAGAATGTAAGCTCCTTCAGAGTAGGGTTCTCATGTTCGATTGTATCTGGATCCCAAGTCCTTAGTACAGTTCTTGCAACACCATAAGCACTTAATAAATACACTAACTTTAAAAACAAAAAGAGTGGTTAAAAACAAATGGTTAAAGGGGCATCTAGGTGGCACAGAGGATAGAGCACCGGCCCTGACGTCAGGAGGACCTGAGTTCAAATCCGGCCTCAGACCAAACACTTGACACTTACTAGCTGTGTGACCCTGGGCAAGTCACTTAACCCCAATTGCCTAAAAGCAAAACAAAACAAAAAACAAATGGTTAAAAAACAAAAGAAAAAAAGGGTTAAAAACAAAAGAAGCTGGGTGTTCTGGTCCACCATCTGGAGACCCAGTTGACACTTAGGTTTGACCATCATAGACTCATCAATTTAGAGTTAGAGTATAGCACAACTCCCTCATTTTACAGTTAGGGAAACTGAGGGATGGAGAACCTGGATCATAAACAGAGCTATGACCGGGATCCCCCGTTACAGCAGAAATAACTATTATATGCTAAAAGGAAACCAAACTCTTAGCAATTGTAATGACTGGTGTCATCTGAGAAAACACATAAGGAAACACACTTTCCTCTTCTTGTCTTTTTTTTTTTTTAATTAGGCAATTGGGGTTAAGTGACTTGCCCACGGTCACACAGCTAGTAAGTGTGAAGTGTTTGGTCTGAGGCCAGATTTGAACTCAGGTCCTTCTGATTTCAGGGCTGGTGCTCTATCCACTGCGCCACCTAGCTGCCCGTCACTTTCCTCTTCTTTACTGAGAGGTGGGGGAATATGGGGACAGAATATTGTATACATTCAAACATAGTCATGGATGGTATCAGTTTTGTTTTTCGTTATAAGGAAATCTTCATTGATGGAGCTGGTAGGTCAGCTTTTTATCTGGAAATGGCTATGATATTTTAAAAAACAGTTAAGTTCTAACTTTTAAAAAATATCATAGCCATTTCCAGATAAAACTCCAGATTAAAGAGGATTAAACATTCATATAGTGCCAGACCCCATGCTAAGCACTTTTACAAACATGATCTCATTTGATCCTCACGACGGCCCGGTAAGGGAGGTGCTATTATCACCTCCATTTTACAGTTGAGGTTTTCTTGGCAAAGACACTGGAGTAGAGGCACAGTCCCTCAGCTAGTATGTATATAGATCTGCAAAGCACTTCACATATTTGACCCTCACAGCAACCTTGGGAGGGAGGTGCTACTATTATACTCTCATTTTACAGATGACGAAGCTAGCATGAGTCTGAAGACAGATTTGAACTTGGGCCTTCTCGATTCGAGGCCCAGCCCTCTAACCGCTGTGCCACCAGTGCCTCTAGGAACCTGTCACGCCTGGGCAATCTGTGGCTCCACTACAAGCCATAGCCCAGCACGGAAAACAATCGGGGCATCTCTGCATGGCACAATTTATCATCGAGTACGGGAGCAATGTTGGGAATAAGCAAATCATTATATATAGTCAAACCTCAATTAAACCTAACTAATCAGAACTTACTGGAGTGTGTGTGTGTGTGTGTGTGTGTGTGTGTGTGTGTGTAGAGAGAGAGAGAGAGAGAGAGAGAGAGAGAGAGTGTATGAGAGACACACATATACACAAAGTGGGGGAGGGAGAAAGAAGAGAGAGAATGACACAGCTTTGCAGGAAAATTACACATCATAAGAAAAATGAACTGACACCAATAATTTTCAAAAAGCAACTTCTGGTGATATCTTGGGGTCAGAATACATGCAATCCTAACTTACATCTTCAATTAAATTAAACCACCACCAGATCCAGTGCTGGGTGCAGGAGAGAAGAAATAAAAGCACTCCCTGCCCTCAAGGGGCTTACATTTACCAAGACAAAACAATATGTGCACAAATAAAATATAAAATACAAAGTAATGGGAGGGGAGTAATTGCTAAGGGGGGAAGGGGATATTTGAGCTAAACTTTGAATGGAGGGATTCCAAGAGGCCACAGTGAGGAAGGAGAACATTCTAGGTATAAGGGACACAGACCGTGAAAAGGCAAGAACACCTGTAGACTTAGAAGGCAGGGACTGCATTATCTGTTGCTGTTGTCTATCCAGCACCTAGCAACAGCACCTGCACGTAGTGCCTAATAAATGCTTGCTGAACTGAATGCATTTTACCAAACTGTTTACTATTTTGATATATTTATATACAAAAAAACCATACACCTTGTTTGTAATGCTCTCCATGATGATGTGATGGCCTTAAGGCAATCCAAGATCCCACTCCATCCCCCTCATTAAAAAAAAAAAATTCGATGGCGTTCCACATACTCTAATTACTAAGGCAGGGAAGCATTAGAAATAAACATTCTTGATGAAGGTTGAAACAAATGAAAGATGTTCTAGTTAAATCTCCCCTTAGCTCCCTGCCCCCCACTCCCCCAATCATTCTAGGTAAACAAGATATTACTGTTTCTAAGTTCCAGCTGAAATATCCATGACTTTCTCTGAGGTGAGGCTGATTCTGTTTCCAGATGCTAGAAATCCCTTTCCACTTTTTACCTTCCCTTCCTCCAAAGTGGTTGCCATTCTCTCTCTCTTCCCCATCCCTGTACCTTCCACCTCCACTTCTCCCCTTTAAGACCAAGTGAACTTGGAGTTGCTTTTATTCAACCCTGGTCCAGCAAAGATGCCTGTTTTGTAGAAGGGGGAAAAGAAAGGAAAATAGAGGAAAAACAGAAATATGAAATGGGACGCTGTGGCCTGTTGCCAATATAAGGCAGAGTCTAATGCTACAGACAAAAGGCACAGTATATTCAAAGAAAAGTTAATGCACATGCATGTACTTTATAAGCTGTAAACTGGTGTTTATATAGTGGGAAGAATAGATGCTTTAGGGCATAAGTTAGAGGGAATGAAAAGGAAGTCTAGGAACAAGATGAAGAAAGAAAAGTATAATCTTGGGCCCAGAAAACAGAAAAGGCTTGGTCTCCTCTCAGTCAAGAGGTGGGGGACAGCAGGTGCAATAATGTACTCTGTTGGGAGTTATTTTGGTGGCAGCTTGGTATGACTTTTTCTCCATTACAAGGAAGAGTCCATTGGATAAGAAATCAAATTGGGAAATGATTGCTGCTTAAGAAAAATGGCATAAAAAAACTTTAAAAGAAGAAAAGGGAGGTCAATGGGTTGGACTGAGGTTTCCATTTACATCGAGTATCAAGTCAAGCGGCAGTAGATACATGGGCACAGGACTGCTGAGAAGGAATAATACAAGGAGTGTAGCAGAAGACCTTGTCCATCTTCATTCCATCTTGCTTCATTGTCCAGGCTTTAGAAGAGAACTGAGGATCACACTCTATGTTTCCATTTCATCCAGACAAATGGACCACCTTTGTTCTCATGGGATGCGAGCACTCTGTAACCTAGATGGTTGACCTCTTGCCCATTATCCTTGTTAGGTAACCCGACTAGCATCTCTTTGCAAGATCTGTCTCCGATGCTCCTGCCACAAAGAACTTCCTGTTCTTTTCATTTATCACTAGAATATAGAAAGATTCTGCTAGGTTCTTTCAACCCTGCGCTTAGGATCAAAGGACCACAGATTTCAAGCTGGGAGGGACATTAGAAGCTGCTGAATCCAACTCGCTCATTTTACAGGAAATTGAGGCAGAGAGAAGTTAAGCCAACTTGCCTAGGTTACATAGCTATTATATATGACAGGATTTGAACTCGGGTCTTCCTGTCTCCTAACGTGGGCCTCTTATCGCCTAGGTGACCATATACTTCTGATCTTTGTTCTTCTTTGTAAACCAATATGTA